CAGGAGGAAGTGCCTCACCACTGAAAAAAACAGTAAGACCAAGTAGGGGAAAGAGTTAAACCTTCTACACTTTCTCTTCCAATGGACATAAGAAGACATGGAAAAATATAAATATAAGGGCTTCTGTTATTTTGCTTCCTACATTTACTAGAAAGCAAGAGACAATTTTTAAAGTTTTGTTAATGAAGAACACAATAACGTGTTCTGGTCTTGACCCACAACTGAGTAAACAATGAAAACACTAGAATAACAAAACAACTGTTCTATTAACTTTTCCTTTGTGCTCCCCCCTGGGAATAAGCATCAGGCAGATTTCCAATGATAAATATAATAGTATCTGAACTCATACATGTTCATGGGTAAGTTGAAGCTAATGAGGAAATCTTAAAAGTGCTGATGGCGCCAAAGGTAAAAGGATTTACAGATGTAACAGACACAGGAGAAAGCCCTTTCTGACCCTTTCCCTCCTCGGTTAGTGATCCCAAATGTAGCGATGTTTAGAAAGTGCTGAGCCCCAAGCCTGGCAAACAGTCACAGTATCACTTTCGCCCTCTTCCTCTTTCTTAGACTGACAAACATTTTTAAGCTATGCAGTCTGGGATTCTGCTACAGATAAGCACATGGTATAGTTCAGAGGATCTCTAGGACTTTTTTTTTTTTTTTTTAACATGGTATTGGACCCTGCTGGTGGAAAGAACTTTTATAAAAGAGCAATCAAGCACAGCAGAATCATAGTTAAACCCAAATGATAATATTGCTCTAGGCCAAGAAATAAAGGCTTTATTCTGAGTAATAATTTTTAAAGCCACTTCTCACAAATAGCTTAGGTTTAACACTCTTTGTTGGAGGTCACCTCCAAAGGCTAGCGCAGAACTTCTTTTTGGTTTGTGGCCAGTAGAATCGCTACTCAACTCTATAGGACAGTCTATTTTTTTTTCCTGCATATGTATGAGGCCCACATAAAGGAAACACACACACACACACACACACACACACACACACTTACTTCAGAGGCTCAGGAGGAAATTACTAGGTAGCATTTTAAATCAGAAATCTAACGCTTAGGTTAGTAGTGTCAGGTTAATGGCTCACCCATCCCCAAAGCTAATTCGGTTCTGAACAGTCCCATGGGTGTCTAGTTGAACAGAAGGAGCTAGGAAACCTTAGCAGGCCGAAGCCCAGCCTGGGGAATTGCTGGAACTCCATGCCAGAGGCTGAGACGCACCCCAGACTCGGTATCAGATAATAAATACCAAGTGCTAGTCTGGATTTCCAGGACTAATCTACTCGAGGGTGGAACTTCCAGGTTCCCTGGTGTCTGTGCTGTGGAGTGGAAGACCTTGTCAAACCACACCATGCCTGGCTAGTATTATATTTAATAACAGATAAATAGGTTCTGCACATAAAGTCTTTGGTAACAATGGTTTATCAGGGGGGTGCAGAGGCAAGGGGGCAGACCTAAGGGAAAGTAGAAAGCACTCTGAAGTTTCTACAGATTCAGTTTTCACCAATTTCTTTTTTGTATCCTAATTTGTATTCTACTTCTAATTTTAAACGTGTGCTTACAGGTTCTCTAGATTCTTAAAGCTATATTATTGTGGCTATTAGCCACTTTTGTGTTTACTCAGAAGGGTTATTTGGCTTCAAAAGCAAGCTTCCCCATCTCACTCACCCCATAACTACCTCCCCCCCAAATTATACACACCTCTCCTTTCTTTTAGGGTCAAGGTTAAAATCTGCCACTGTATAACTTCTTAAAACCCTGTGGTGACTTCTATCAGTCCCAGAGTTACTATATTTTAACTTTGTACAAAAAGGTTTTCCAGGTTAAGTCAAAATTCCACCCCCCCATATAAATAAACAAATTAAAGAATTTAGCATTACAGCCGAGTCTTAAGACTACAATTATATTCTACATTAAATACAAATTAGCACTAATTTTACCAAAGTCAATATTTATTATATCTCCCCACCACTGCAAGTTTCTTTAAGACTCACTCAGCACTTAGGAAGCTTTGGGTTACTGTGTCTGAATTGCAAAATACACCATTTGCCCAGAAATTGCTCTTAGTCCAAATGCAAATTGCTTACAAAACATGTGTAAACCATGCTTATAACAGGCAGCACACATCCACAAAAATCCATTCAATGCAAAGGTAAGTGGAAAAGCTTTGCAAATTAGGCTTCCCTTTAAAAACTACAGGGACATTTACGGTGTTTCCAAAAGGTAATTGCTTCTTACTTCAGTAAAAGTGGCTTTATGTGACTGGAAGGAGTTGATTTTTTTTTTCTAAGTGAGTGGATAACAGTATTCAATTAGAGAACAGGGTGGGAGAGTCCACTCTTAAAATACAACTTAATCACCAGGCACCAAAAAGTAGGAGAGGCCCACCAAGCATCGGAGCTAAAATGGAGCCTGAATTTCCTCTCAGACGGAGAGGGTAGTCGCACGAGGTCAGGGTCAAGGTCACCAGCAGGGCAGGCTGCAGCTGCCCAAATGCTCTATACACAACGGGAGGGAAGGCGTTCCATCTCCGTCAGAGCCGAAAACAGATAAATCCCTTCTCCTCTCCTACCCTCCCTCTAACCCCGCCAACATTTTTTTTTAAGCAGGGGGGAGAAGAGAAGAAAGGAAAATGACCAAATAACCTCACCGCCCTGGTTTTCGCACACAAGCTCATCAGCTCCCAAAGTTGCCATCTAAGGGCAAGTTCGCAGAGAACACTGAAGCCCATTTTGTCCGAGCAGGGCAAGCCTCCCCCGACCCCCCCAGGATTCCTGCCTCCTCTCCCTCCCCCGCCACACGCCCCCGAAAAGAGCTGGGAACTGGCCGACCGGCCATGTGCACGCACACACTCTTCCACCAACTGCTGCGAGTTTTCTGTGAATCGCAGCGCAGAGCCTCCCAACTCGCCCTCCCCGACTCCGCCGCCTTCTCTTTCCTCGCACAAAATTTCCCTACACACGCAGCCGCCTGCGAGTGATTTTATGTGCATATATATTACATATGTGATATTATCCTCAGAACCTCTAGCGGGCAGGCGAAGAAAGGACTGCAAAGGGGCATTTTTTTTTTTTTAAAGGAAGGGGAAAAAAGCACAACCCAAGCCCTGTGCGTCGACTCCTGCGTACCGGGAAGGGAAAAGAAAGAGGAATGTTTGCGGAGCGGGCTGCCTGCGAGTGCCCTTGCTCGCCACTTCGGCCGCGGCCCGGGCGACACGGAGCCGCGGGGGCGCTCGGCCCGAGCAGCCCGCGCCCCCTGCCCGCCCCCCGGGCAGGCACCGCCGCGGATATTTCGCGAGGGGGAGATCGATCGAGCTGCCTGTCTGCAGCGGAAACGCACAAGCTCACACACAACCCGAGCCCGAGACACCATAACCTTAACCCTTCCCCCACCCTCCGTGAACTTCAGGTGACCGACCACGTCGGCCTGACACCCAGGCGGGCGGGCGCTCCGGCTCCGCTCCCGCCCCCAGCCCGGGTTTTGCAGGATCGGGCTCCAGGCAGCGCCAAACCGCCGGGAGAGGGGAGCAGTGCGGGGGGAGAAAGAAGAAATTGACCCTCGGTCTCCCCCGACCCCTCCCTCCGGCGCCTCCGGCGTCCCCTCCTCCCAGTCACCCCGCCCCACGCCTTCTCCCCTGCCCCCTCCTCCCTGCATTCAAGGAGCCGGGCGGCCCCGGGGGATATTTTTAGTTGCTTCTTTCTCCTTCACTTTTAGCTTTAGCAGCATCTCGGAACACTCAAAGCGGAGAAAGATTGGGGTGGGGGGGGCGGGAGCTGGAGAGGGAGTGGGGGAAAAGTTAAGAGTCTAGCAAAGAAAAGCCGGAGGGAGGGCGGAGAGGGACCGGGGGCGCGGGTGGAGGAGGGGAAGGGGACCGGGCCGTGCCGGCGGGTATGTGTCTCCAGTTGGTGTGTGTGGCTGCAGCCGGGGAGGGTTGTGATGCACTTTAGTCCTGGACTCTGCTCAGGCTCGCCGGGGAGGGGGGTCTGAGAGCCCGAGTCTCGCCTGGCTCCGTCTGCTCCGACTGACCCCGCATTTTATTGCGGCCAGGAGCCCTGCTCCTCCCTCCCCTCGGCTCTGCAGGGACCTCGCGCGCCGCGAGCCGCCCTGCCTCCTGCCTCCGCCTCGGCGCGGCTCCCGCACCCCACATCCGCCCGCCGCTGCCCGGCCTCGCCCCCCGCCCGGCCGCCGCGCCGCCCCGCGCCCCCCGCGCCCCGGCGCCGCGGGAGCAGCCGCCCGGCGGCGCGTGTGCACCGGTGTGTTTGTGTGCTGTGCCCCCACACCCTCCCCAGCTGCTCCCGCCTCGCCCGCCCCCGACTCCCCTCCTCCGCCGCCGCCTCCTCCACCTCCGCCTCCTCCTGCTGCCGCCGCCGCTGCCGCCGGCGGCTCCGGGGCCGACCAACCCCGGCGCAACCTTTAGCCGGAGACGGACCTCTCCCCGGGTCCTGCAGCCGGCGGGCGGCCGCGCGCCCTCGCCCCGAAACCCCCAAACGCCATGTCACGGCCCCCAGCCCTCCGCACGCCCCGACCCCCGCACCCTCAGGCACTGGGATCCGCAAGGAATTTTTTTTTTTTTAAAGATTCCAACCTCTCCCACCTCCCCCTCACCCCTCCGATTAAAAAAAAGAAGAAAAAAAAACCCGGCATCCACACTACTCCCCTCCTCCCGTCTCTTGCCCCCTCCCCCCAGCAACCCGGAGTGAGGAGGGGGAGGGGGAGGGGAAAGGGGAAAAAGCCCGATCTCAAGGAAAAAAAGAGGGGGGGGGTGAGAGAAAGAAAGAAAAAGAGAGAGAGAATAGAAAGGGCACGGGGCTGATCATCACCAACATGGCTGCCTCGGCATAGACCTAAACGAGGAGTAACCCGGGCTGTGTCTTTGTCAGTTTCACCTCTGTAACCCTAAACTAATGCAGAAAACAACGGAGGAGGCTGCGGAGGGGAAAGAGGAGAGGGAGGGCGAGAAAATGGCACGAGAGGAGGTGGAGAAGGGATGACTTACGTGAGGGAAGGCGCTTGGGCTGCTCCTGCTTCCTCCTGGGCATTTTCCCCCTTTTCTCACATTCTCCTCCTTGGTTAATGTGAGATCAAATAAACCCCCGTGGGGGCAGAGAGGCAGACACTGGCAGGAGCGGGGAGGTAGTTGGGGGGCGGGCGGGCGGGCAGGGGGAAACCCCTTCTCTCCGGTGTGTGCAATGGGTTGAAGCTTGTTTCCTGGAGCCAGATGAGGGGTTCTCTTCTTTTCTTTCCTTTCTTTTTTTTCCTTTTTTTTTTTAAATTTTTTTTGGTCGTGCACCTGGCTTGTCCCCGAGCGTAATATTCTTCAATGGAAACGGATCTAATAGGTGTGAGTGTGTGTGTGTCCTATGCTCGCGTGTGTGATGGGAGGTATAAATAAATGAGTGCCGGTGCGGCGGTGTCTATGGCCGCGCTCTGTGTCTCCGAGCCCCTAACACTAATGTCGGGATCAAAGGGCAGCGGCGGCGGCAGCACAGCTCACAGCTCGCTCTCTTGCTCTCGCTCTCTCTCTCTCTCTCTCTCTCTTTCTCGCTCTCTCCTCTCGCGCTCTCTCTCTCTCTGTCACACACACACACACACACTCACACATACACAGAGGCACAGACTGAGGGAAAGAGCGAGAGCTAGACACACACACACACACACACACACACACACACACACACACGCAGAGCAAAGACGAAGGTGCCCTAAGGCTCCCAGGGCGGACTCAGCCTGGGATTTGCAACCGCTCCGTCTGGAAAGAATGGGGGGCGCGCGTGCGGGGGTGGGATGGAGTTCTTCGAATTTATCCCGCTATTCGCCAAATCTAGGGGGGTAAAAGTTTTCCCCACTCTTTAAACAACGATTAGTTCATTATTCTTGGCGATTTAAAAAAAAGAAAGAAAGAAAATAGATTTTTCTCATAACTTTCATTTGTTTATTAAACTACATTTTGTTCTGTATAAAATTCTTCAGGCTTTTTCACTGCAAGAATTACTCTTCTCACCTCATCACCTTAAGTTTGTGGAGGTTACAGTTTCCCACACATTCTTCAAAAAACATTCCAATAAAATATTTTTTTTTTTAAAAGCATTAAAAGATAACATGGTGAAATCGATAATGAGGTTGATGGATCAAATACCCAGTTTGGGAGTGTTTCGTGGAGTGAGGACTGAAAAACGCTGCCTACATGAAAATTACATCCCCTTGACAAAGGGGAAAAAATAAGATTCAGTCCTCTCATGGTTGTTTTAACAGCTACATCATACTCCTACAGTGCACAGAGCAAGCTTGACTTCTGAAATTTACTTTTTTTCTGCTGCTGTGATGCAGGTATATAAAGCTTACCCTGAAGCAATTCTAGTTTGCATTATGAGCCCAAATATAGCAGTTTTCATCAACTGATACATACTTTCATTACTTTACAAATCACACATCTTTCTTCAAAGTGAGACATAAAGGGAAAAAATAGAAAAAGATGGGTCTCACTCTAGCACAAAAGGTACTTGGTGAAAGAGGACTGTTCTCTTTGTGACTTGCAGTCATTTGGATAAAAGTTCACTCAGAGGTTGTTAATGATTTAAACTCCAAAACTGCTACTATAATTGAAGTAAAAATGGTCTGAAGAAGAGTTGTTTCATAAAACTCTCTTTGTAAGAGGAAACTTTGAACTTAGCAGAATACATTATATGTCATGAGTCAGATGTAGCTAAAAAATAAAAAGGTGAATTATTTAACTACATCTTCCCTTTTTAGCTTTTTAAAAACTCTGACTCATCATCTTATTATGTTAAATATTTTCTTACCAATTTTAAAATAGACTTTTTCATCAAAGAAGGTGGAGGCATGGTGAAGATACAGAACGTTAAAATGACGCTCCGTAATCTTACATGGATAGCTAATGCCTCTGAGGTTCTAGCTTAATTCTCACAACTTGACTGGTCTTAACATCCATGGTGGATAAACCCCTACGTTCTCCTTAAAAATAACAATAAGGTTTTATTTTGTATACTTTTATTAGAAAAGCTTAAAGAGTGTTGTATCTTCCATAAGATGTTTTCATTGATAATGAAATCTCAGGATGAAACTCTCCCTGCCAACTCCCGGGAAGATCTAGCTTCCGCATGGACAAGTAATGATATCTGAAACAGGTTTTGAAACACCTGCTTGAATTCAATTTAAAACCAAAACAGAGTAGTCAAGTTTAAAATGGAGCATCATCCTTAATCCAATTCTTCCCTGAGTGTTGACCTAAGTAAACTGTTTATCTAAGTTTCCCTGCTTTATAATTTGAAATGGAACGATCTTTTAACTCAGATCGAACTCAGCTTGCCATGCATGACTTTGACTACTGTCGGTAGCGGTAGACTTGAAATTAATATATTAATGATAAGTCAGAGCCCATTCATTCCAAATAGACTCATTGCACAGAGTATGCAGGCTCTTTAAACCTAACACAGTAAACAGAACTGTCACAACACTCCACCACTTCACCCTCGGAACTTTTGGCTAGGATATGAAGGACTACTATTACTCTGCATAGATACAACTACCACTGTTTTCCTGAATTGCTATGACTCTTTACAATGCTTAGTACACTATAATCGAAAACATACTTTGGGCCTTTCCTCAAAGTAGCATACATTTCCTGCGACCTTTTAAAGGCATGCAGGCAAACACTGTCAACTTTTAATTATATAGGTATTCTATCAACAGCCAAAAACATTTTTAATTGAATTTATTCAAACCTCTACCACCTTCCAAAAATTATTTGAAGTAGTACACAACAATAAAAATGGAAATAAGGACACAATTTCTGTTTAAATCTCAGCTTGGAATCTGCTGCAAAGCACTCTTCAAGGGCACTGCATCTCAACCTCAATAGCTGTATGTCCAAAGAACACAAACTAAGTTCAATGTTAGACTAACCTAAAATACTGGGATGATAAATAGCTGGAAGTTGCTACAATGGATTTCAAAATCAAATGAATAAATGATTTTGTGTATGTGTGCCCTGTGGATGTATGTACTCATGAACTGTTAACTTGGATTGTTGTCGACCATAGTCATGACTTTGGAATATTCTATCGGCATCACCCCCTCCCCCCCATCCAAGCTTTTAAAAGAATGTTTTGTCTTAATAATTATAGTGCTTTCTCCACCCCCATCTCCATCACCTTCAAATGTGAGATTAGAATAGATTTTCTCAAAAGTGTGCATTTTAAGGCGATGTTTCATAAATGCTCACTCTCCCAGGAGTAAATTCTGTCCTAGCCCAAGTATTGGTAAAGTGGGTACACAGAGGGAGCACTTCCCCTAGAATGGTGTGTGATTTCTAGAGAGGTCCTTGATGTCAAAACTATTTTCATAATAATACCAAGATGTTATTTGCCCTTTTATCTGTGTTCACATTTATACTGATGATACCAAAACAATGGGATAAAGTGCGGCACCCCAGCAGCTCAAATCAAGACAATGACACCAGAACATGTTCTCTTCTTCACCACGGTGAACCTGGGGAGCCGGGGGTGGGGGGACACAAAAAGAAGATTCATTTAAAAGTATTCTTGACAACAAACTATTTAAAAAATAAATAAATAAAAGTATCCTTGATGGAACAGTAAAATTTACTAATTGTATTAAATCTTGACCCTCTAAATATTCTCTGTGACAAAATAGTAGATTTGTATAAAGTTCTGCTGCTACATACTTTAGTACCTCAGTGTCTCTAGGAAACTCATTTGGGGGATTGTTTGATATTGCTGCTTTTCCCGTGGAATATTATTTTTACTTGAAAGAATGACTGATACGAGGCTCTTGGGTGGTTCAGTTGGTTGAGTGTCAGACCTTTGACTGGAGCAGGTCATGATCCCAGGGTTGTGAGATTGTGCCCTGCCTCAGACTCTGTGCTGAGCATGGAGCCTGCTTAGGATCCTTTCTCTCTCTCCCTCTGTCCCTTTCCCCTGCTTGTGTGCTCTCTCTTTTTTTTTATATAAAAAATAATAATAAATTAATAAATAAGTAAAATAATAATAGTAAAGAATGACTGTAGACAAACTGTGGTTATGCAGAGTTGGATGTTTCTCAAAAAATGTATAAAATGAGCCTGTAACTTCAAGGAAAACAATGCATGGTATCTTTTTGGCAATGATTATATTTACACTTATAAGTGAAAATTAGAATTTTAGATAATGTGTGTCCATCACTGTGAGTTTAACAGCTTCCTTTTTTTGAAAAATGTTTTTAATGTTCATTTTTTAATTTTGAGAGAGAGAGAAACAGAGCATGAGCATAGTAGGGGCAGAGAAAGAGGGACACACAAAATCCAAAGCAGGCTCCAGGCCCTGAGTTGTCAGCACAGAGCCCAATGTGGGCTCTAATTCATCAACCACAAACTCATGACCTGAGCTGAAGTCAGATGCTTAACCGACTGAGCCACCCAGGTGCCCCTAACAGCTTCCTAATACAGATTTTTCTGATGAGATCCATGGTGATATTAAAAAATATGACTTTTTTGTATTGTGTCAACATTTTGGAGGAACTGCATAACTCGGTAAGCCAATATTTTCCAAATGACTAATACCTGATAATAGAAAATCATAGTGTACCAAAAGATCCACTCAACGTACAAGGTAGACCAATGGACTTCAGTGTAAGAGTATGAAAAGCTCATTGATATGGTTTCAGAATCCACAAGTGAGTAATTTTTAAGAAATTACCACTCATCGAGTTTTGATGTAGTGTCAAAGAAGAGTACCCATAATTATCTGCAAAGGTTATTAAAATATTTCTCCCTTCCAAGGTGCCTGGGTGATTCGTCGGTTAAGCATCCCATCCTAGATTTTGGCTCGAATCATAATCTCACAGTTTGTGAGATCAAGCCCAGCATCAGGCTCGCTGCCTTGACAGTGCGAGGAGGAGTCTCTCTCCTCCTCTCTCTGTCCTTCCCCTGCTCATGCTGAGTCTCCCTCTAAACAAACAAACAAACTTAAAAAAAATACTCCTCCCTTCCTCCAACTACATATCTGTATGAAGCTTGTTTTTCTTCATATATGTCTTTAACCAAAGCAACATATCATAACAGATTAAAAGCAGAAGCAGATATGAGAATCCAGCTCTCTTCTACTAAGCCAGACACCACAGAGATTTGCAGAAACATAAAACAATGCTACTCTTCTCACTGAAATTTGGTTTTGAAAGATGTATTTTTCATAAATATGTGTTACCTGGTATTGAGTTTATTACTGTTATTATATGTGAGTTAATAAGTAAATATTTTCTAAGTTCTGCAGTTTTGATGCATAGTATAATAAACATCAATAGATGTAACCCATGTGTTCTTTGGGGCCCTTGATAACTTCTAAGAGTATAAAGGAGTCCTGATTCCAAAATGTTTGAGAACCACTGCCTTAGAACTTAAGATGCAGTGAAAGAACTTCTCCTGGTCTTCTAAGAGAGGCCTGGGGATCTGAACACAAATATGTTTCAGCT